AACTACCATTTCAAACTACAGTTGTTTGAAATCCTGTTCACAACCTCCTGAAAACAGCCAACTCCCAAATGCCAACATGAGCCAGCTCCAGAATATGAATGGAAGAGAGCATGGACAAAGGGAGGAGATAATTCCCACATTCACCCTAGGCCAGCAAAGAGCATTGAGAAAGATTACATCTAAATCCTAGGGCTCATGAGATAGGGATTCATTGTATTCTTTGCTTTTAAACAGCAAAAAATTATATCTCTACTACCTAGCAATATAACTCTTTTTCTCCATTTCCTGTGTGAAATCTGCAGTAAATTCTACATTGATTGCTATTGAGGGTACTCAAAGAGGAAGATGGGCCAGTCAACATATGGATTACTTATTTAAAAAAAAAAAGAGAGAGAGGGGAGATAGGCATTTTACAAGATACACACATGTACAATCTTTTAATGTTAAGTAATTGGGAAATCATCAAATGGGTTACTAGACAGACTAAAATGACTAATAGCTAATAAGCTCTAATCTGAGGATTCTTAGGCAATACATTGAAGGAAGGCTAGGCTGTAACAGGATGATTTGTGGACAAAATTAATCGCCATCGAGTTGATTCTGACTCATAGTGACCTCCATTGGGTTTCCAAGGTGGTAAATCTTTATGGAAGGAAATTGCCCCATCTTCTTTCTGTGGAGCGCCTGGTGAGTTTGAACCAGCAACCTTTCGGTAATAGTCAAATGCCTTAGGCACTGCACCACCAGAGCTCTAATTTGTGGATAGGAAAAGTGAATAGAAGTCAGTCCTGGGGTAAATTATAAACAAGAAGTTGTTAATCCTATGGAATAAGGGGATGTTGCTTTGAATTCATTTACTGTAGTTTATGGTCTCACCACATTTCATATTTATATTTAAAAATTCATTTACTGGGTTAACAAGAAATATCAGCATGTCCTAGGGGCTGTGCTAGGTTAGAAGTGGTCAATCCTTGAAATCCTAGGGGGAAGGGACAGGTTAGAAGGAGAAACTAACCTGTAAACCCATAATTAAATTCAATATGAGGAAAGCTGTTACACAAGTAGGAGCCCTCATAACACAGTGGTTAAGTGGTCAACTCCTAATTGAAAGGTCAGCAGTTTGAACTCACCAGATGCTCTATGGGAGAAAGATATGGCAGCCTGCTTCCATAATGATTACAACCTTGGAGACCCTATAGGGCAGTTGTAGTCTGTCCCTAAAGATTATAACCTTGGAACCCCTATGGGGCAGTTTTAGTCTGTCCTGTAGGGTTGCCATGAGTCAGAATCTCCTCCATAGCAGTGGGAATGGGATTATACAAGTTTTGGAGAATGCATCTGAGAGCACATAAGAAGTAGCAACATGCTAGCTACTCAGGAAACTCCTGAAAAAACATAATTATTTAAATATGCTCCAAGTTCATAGTATTTTAAATTTTAGATGTTTGATCCTTAATAATGGCTGACACTTATTGCTTATTTTTGTTATATCATCATGGAAAATACAATTTTCAGGTCTCAACTAACATCTTGAACATTTTTGAAGTGTAACCAATGCACTGTCAGCTATAATTTAAGTGTACAATCTGAAGATTGGTGACATGTGCGTGCACAATCTCTGCAATCGAGATTTGAATATAACTGTCACCCCACAAGTTTTCTCATGCCCTTTAGTAATTTAACCCTCCCTGCCACCCATTCTTCCCATCCACTGCATTTCTTTTTTTGCCTAGTAATTGACATTAAATATAAATTTCAACCATGGCACATTTAGTTTTCCCACATTAAGATGGGAATTTTCTACTTACTGTACTTTTCATGACATGTTTCATCTTGATGACTTAAAACTTCACTGACTTAATTAGATCAAAATAATTGCATTTGACCTCTCCCTTTCCTCTTTCTTCTTAGTTGAGCTTTGTGAGAAAACCGTTCTTTTGCTGTTTTGCCTGACAGATCATTGTACACATAGTGTTCTGATTGTTATCCTATTTTCAATATGCTCAAATGATTTAAAGCTATGCATTGGTGGGAGATAAGACTTCTCCCTACAGCAGAGTATATTCATAATGTCACGTCTCTTTTGAAGAGACAGAATATGAGAGAGCCTTGGGTAGGCTGCTGGTGTGTTTCTCTTCTTTTTTGGGGCGTGTAGCTGGACTGGTCCCTATGTCTTGCTAAGGGTCCCTGAGTGCCTCCCACCACGTAGAGGCAGACAGTTTTCATTCCAGCCAGGAAGTATCACATCTAGACAAATCTTTGTGACAGGAGTATAGATCCCTTTAGACACTTGGTGTTCTAGCACAAGTGCTAAGGCCCTTGGGAGTGAACTAAATGTGTTAGAGTTGGAAACCTGTGTGCAAGTAAAACTAGTTTTATCCTTCCTTTGTTAGCTCTGTTTATTTCCCTGTGATTCTCCTTTAGTAGCTAGCAAAGTCTTTTGAGATTTTCACCTTTTCTCAGCTGGGCCAATGGCAACTGAAAACTCTTTTTGTTTCACGTTGACAGGATCCTTGAAGTAAGAGAAACCCAAGAGGAAAGTAAATTTCAGGGACAAAGGAGTTGCTTTGTTGACCACTTTTGTCCCCTTTCAGAGAGACCTTTCAGATATAAACTTGGGAGGATCTGCATTTTATTGCATGGGGGCAGCAAAGTGATATTCCCTGGAAAGTCTCTTTATTGACTCCCCCCACCCCCAAAGTACTCCATCTCATTGATGCAGAACCTTGTTCTTAAATTCTGGAAACTAATTCCTAAGAGGGACCTCTGGTAGTGTACTGCCTAAGGCATTTGACTGCTGCCCAGAGGCTGGCAGTTCAAACCCACCAGCCACCCCTCGGAAGGAAGATGGGGCAATCTACTTCCGTAGTGATACTGCCTCAGAAAACCAAGGAGGGGTCACTATGAGTCAGATCTGGCTTGACAGCAGTGCATTTGGTTTAATTCCTAAGATATAGGGGTGATTCACCCCTTCTGTGTGAGAGACCCAAGTTTGATTCCCAGTCCATGCACCTCATTCACAGCCACCACCCGGTATCAGCAGAGCCTTGTGAGTTGCTATGATGCTAAACAGGTTTCAGTAGAGCTTCCAGACTGAGACAAACTAGAAGAAAAGCCCTGGAGACCTACTTCTGAAAGTCAGCCAGAAAAAACTCTATAAATTACAATAATCTGATCCCCAACTATTCATGGGATGGTGCAAGATTGGGCAGTGTTTATTCGGTTGTGCATGTGGTCACCATGGGTCAGGGCCAACTCCATAGCAGCTAACAGCAACAATTGCTAAGGTATCCAATAGAAGAATGAGTTTTCTCATTCACAAAGATATTTCCCTTTTAAATAAGAGCCCTTAAAGACTAAAGGATATTCTATGCCAAAGGAATTAATCTTTAATGATACAATTTCAGGTAACGGGAAAACTACTGGGGTCTGGGACCTTCTCAGTGCTTCTTAAACTGTACTACAAGTGTGATACAAATTATGTGCCTATAGGTTTATATGTCCATCTACATCTCTTCTTGTCTCTTTTAAAAATGTATTACTTCTCCTTTATTCTATTAATTTATTTTTTTAATTTCATAAAACAATATCTATAAAATTATATCCTTGGGCCTGTCGCACTTACAGATATATTTGACAATTACAACATAAAGGAGAGTGGGGGAATGAAGCTATATTGAGCAAGAAAATGTAGCAAATTATAACTCTAATCCATAGGATAAAGTGAGGAGAAGTGGAAATTATAAATAAGATGATTAATATAAAAAGATTTATAAATGCACTTATTTTTTTCTCTTCTTTTATTTAAAAAGACATAAGATTATATAGAGCATCAAATATAATACTGTACTGTTAGGTTTGTAAAAAATCTCTGGTGGTGCAGTGCCTAAGGTATTTGACTGCTAACCAGAAGTTTGGTGGTTCAAACCCACTAGCTGCTCTGTGGAAGAAAGATGGAGTAGTCTACTTCCATAAAGATTTACTGCCTCAGAAATCCAGTGGAGGTTGCTATGAATTGGAGGTGAGTCGATGGCAGTGAGTTTTTGTTTGGTTCAGAATTAAAATTAAAGATTATTTGGGGGAGAATTTTGACTATATAGTGCTCAAGAGAAAAGATGTTTCCTTGAAGACTAAGGTGCACATATCCCAAGCCATATTTTTAATTGCCTCATATGCATGTGAGAGCTGGACAATGAATAAGAAAGACCAAAGAAGAGTTGATGCTTTTGAGTTGTGGTGTTGGCAAAGAATACTGACAGTAGCATGGATTCTAAAAGGGCTTAAAAATCTATCCTGGAGTAAGTGCAGCTGGGATGCTTCTTGGAAGCGAGAATGGCCACACTTTGTCTCACCTACTTCAGTCATGTTATCATCAGAAGGAACCATTCTCTGGAGAAGGATATGCTTGGTAAAGTGGAGGGTCAACAAAAAAGGGGAAGGCCCTCAACAAGATGGATTGACACAGTGGCTGCAATGATGGGCTCAGGTATACCAGGGATTGTGAGGCTGGCACAGGCCAGGCAGTGTTTCATTCTTTTGTACATAGGGTTGCTATGAGTTGGAAGCGACTTGATGGCACCCAACAACAGCAACAACAATTTCAAGGTAATTTTATCAATATATAGTCTGAGAAAAATGATAATCCACGTATTTCTGGTATGTTTCTATAAAAGTACATATTATTTATCAGTAAATTAAAGTTTAAGTTAAATTGTCTTAAGATCCTAAGTAGGTGTGTTGTCATGTTTCCTTTGTTATGCTAGCTTTGGTTTATTATATATGCAAATTACAGATTCCTACATCAGCATCATAATTCTTTGAAAATGTTATGACCCTAGAATTTTGTATGATATTTACTTATTTCTGCTTCATCTTATTTCAGAAATGTTTGGAGGGCTAAAGTGAGTAAATTACAAAAGTCACCTCCAGGAGGACTTGTGTGTTTGCATAGCCATATGTGAGATCTTTATTTTCTAATTTCATTGACATTTAACTTTTAGGTATTCAGAGGATGACTACCTTCAGATTATCACAAATATTCAGAGATGTCCATGGAAACGACAAGCAGAAGAATATGAGAATTTTAGGTAAAAAAAAAAAATCATAAGTAATATGAGATAAATATGTTTGTATATTTGCTTTGCAAGGAAAATAGGCATTATGTTGTTTAAAGAAAAGTAGAAGGTATCACCTAGAAATCAGGATGACTCATTCTGAGACTCTGTCATGGTATCCCCATGTATTTGATACTTTAACCTTACCCAACCTCTGTATTACATTTCCAAGTCTGGTATAGAAATTGATATTAGTGGAGTTAATTTGAAAATTCTAAATTCAAAAGAAAGTTTTGTTGACTGGTATATAGAAGTTGCCTCTTCTTTTTTGTACCGTATATATTCGGTATATATATATGAGGAGACCTGGTGGCACAACCATTAAGTAGCTTGGCTGCTAACTGAAAGGTTAGTAGTTCAAACCCACCCAATGGCTCTGTGGAAGAAAGAACTAGTGATCTGCTTCCATAAAGACTACAGCCTAGAAAACCCTATCGGGCAGTTCTGCTTTGTCACATGGATCACTGTGAGTTGGAATTGACCGACAGCACTCAACAGCAGCATGTATATACATGTTATTGTTGTTGTTGTTGTTGTTTTGCCGTCGAGTCGGCCCCGACTCATAGCGACCCCTCCTTGGGTTTCCGAGGCAGTATCACTACGGAAGTAGGATTGCCCAACCTTCCTTCCGAGGAGTGGCTGGTGGGTTTGAACCGCCAGCTGTCTGGTGAGCAGTCAAGTGCCTTAGGCACTATGCTACCAGAGCTCCTATATATATACACACACACACACACATATATATACATACATATATATATATGTATATACATATATATATGTGTGTGTATATATATATATATATATATATATGAATGTATGTGTGTATTTAGTAAATAATATGTAATAACATTAGGGAATATTTGGAAAACATAAAAGAAAAAAATTCCATAATCCTTTTAGAACAAAACTATTTTTGTTTCTACATCTTCTGTTCTAGATTTTTCTCATTTGTTTTTTAAAACAGGCATCATCAAGGTACAGGAGTTGCTCAAGGTAATAACCTGGGGAAAAGTCTTCAACCTGACAAACCCAGGTTATGGGCTGGTGATTATAGAGCTCTCCGCTGTGCTTGGATAACTTGTAGCATGCCCAACATAAATATATTTGTTAAAGTAATACACATTGAGGGTGTATGACGACTTCTCTGGTACCCATCCCTTTCACCTCCCACTAGATTACTCAGCTGTTATTATCCACATTCTGTTCTTTGCTGTTTCATCCTGTGCCATATAATTTTATTACTGTCTTATTACTTTTATTACTGATACTTATCTTCACCAGTTCATATTTTCAAAGTTTACTTTAAGCATCAAGTCTTTTAAAAATTTTATTCTAGAGACCTTCCCCAAACCAAACGCATTGCCTTCAAATCAATTCCAACTCAAAGCAACCAGATAGAACAGTATAGAAGTGCCCCATAGGATTTCCAAGGTTCTTTATCTTTATAAAAGCAAAATGCCACATCTTTATCCCATGAGTGGCTGGTGGTTTGAACCACTGAACTTTTGTTTAGCAACTGAGTGCTTAATACCATGTCACCAAGGCTCTTAAATAGAACTTGCTTTTTGCTAAAATAGTCTTAAGAAATATCTGCTTACTTGGTTCTGTTTTTGTAGGATAACAACGCTTCCCATTTGCAGGATGGCATGGCTTTGCCTGTCCCTGTTTCTGTCTGTACACCGATGACCTTGCACCCACTGTCTTTGATTCTGCTGCCAATATGAGAGGGGTTCTGCCCAGCTTCCATTGTGTAAAAGAGTAACTTTTTGATTGGGTCAAAGCTAAAAGTGAATATCTTCCTCCAATTGGGTAGACAGAGACTCTGGATAATACAAATGGTTAATACACTTTGCTGCTTATTGAAAGGCTGAAGGTTGGAGTCCATCCAAAAGTACCTCAGAAAAAAGGCATGGCAGTCTAGTTGTGCAAAATGACCCACTGAAAACCTTACAGAGCCCAGGTCTATTCTGACACATAGTGTCACCATGCATTGGAATCAACTCGACAGCAACTGGTAGTATTGGGAATATATATGGATGTCAGGATTGCATGTAGGATATCTTTAAGCATCTTTCCTAACTATGGCATTTGAGAAGGAGGGGTAGGAAATGGGATCCTGCTTAACTATTTCATTTCCAGGATATTTTATGTTTATTGCTGTTGTTGTTATGTGCAGTTGAGTTGGACCCAACTCATAGCGACCCCTCCTTGGGTTTCCAAGACAGTAACACTACAGAAGTAGATTCCCCAACCTTCCTTATGAGGAGTGGCTGGTGGGTTTGAACCACCAGCCTTCTGCTTAGTGGTCAAATGCCTTAGGCACTATGCCACCTGAGCTCCTACAGAGTCCTATTCAGCACTGGATTTGGGAGATCCTGGTGACAGGGAGATCAGATAGACTGTTGCACAGACAGTTGTAACCTAAATGAACACAGTGTCAATAGGTGGCCTTTGTGGTTGAAGAATAGGCAAAAAAGGAAGAGAAAAATATTGAGGGACTGAAGATCAATCCAAATGATTAGCTAGAAAGACTTGGTGAGTAGTGACACCAGTAATTAAAGTAGAGTATAGGTGCTTCTACTTCTGGTTGTTAAGTTGATTGAGATCAAGCCTCCTTAGAACAATACAAAGAATCAGATGAAGTATTCTGAAACCTGTTTGAAGGCGTTGGAGGTCTCCAAAGAAGTGAGAATTTACAGGACCAGAATCTAGAGGAAAAGGGAAGCCAAGGGAGGTGAGGCAAACATATCGGGCTGCCTTTTCTCAAAATGAATGTACCAATTCCAAAAGCAAAAGCATGACTGAGAGGTTGAGCAGCTAAGCAGAGCTTTAAGCAGTCGTATGAGGATGGGGCACAGTGAAGGTGGCATCTGCCAAAAAGGAGCTATTGAGAAGAGGGAAGCTTTGGATATGGATCCGTAAGGGCTATACCTTATGTCTTCATTTCTTGGTACTGCTATAACAAAAATACCACAAGTGGGTGGCTTTAGCACACAGAAATTTATTTTCTTGCAGTTTAGGAGGCTGAAAGTCTGAATTTAGAGTGCCACTTCTAGGGGAAGGCTGTCTTCTCTGTTGGCTCCAGGGTAAAGTCTTGTAATTTTTGGCTTCTGTTCCTCATTTCCTTGATGATGTTCACATGGCGTGTTCCTTTGCCTCCATTTGCTTCCTCTCTGTGCCTAATCTGCTCTTTTTAATATATCTCAAAGATTATTGGTTTAAGGAATACCCTACGCTGATATGGTCTCATTAACATTACAAATAAAGTCTTACTAGCAAATGGGATTACATCCATTACATCCTATGGGGGTTAGGATTTACAACAATATTGTTTGGAAACACAATTCAATCCAAAACACCCAAGAAATGTCTTTCAAAAGGACTAAAGTTCAAAATAGAATCATTTCCAACCTTTATTGGTTCAAGAGATCTTCTCTTAGCCGGGATGCCTGATGAAACAAAAGTAAGTCCTCTCTGGAGAAAAGCAATCTCACTGAGAACCTCAAATATCTCTGTAAGTTTTCACACACAGTCTCTGGCTCTATGTAAATATGTATGCATATATATGATTGTTTTTGTTGTTAGTTGCTGTCAAGTAAATTATGACTCAGGGAGACCACCTGTTACCGAGTACAATTGCTCCAAAGGGCTTGGTTGTAATCTTTAGGGGAGCAGATCACCAGCCCTTTTCTTCTGCAGTTTTACTGAGCAGCTTTGAACTGCCAACCTTTTGAGAGTAGTCAAATGCAAACTGTATGCACTACCCAGGAACTTCTACAAATGTTGTTGTTATGTGCCATCAAGTCGGACCCGACTCATAGCGACCCCTCCTTGGGTTTCTGAGGCAGTATCACTACGGAAGTAGATTGCCCCATCTTCCTTCCAAGGAGTGGCTTGTGGGTTTGAATCGCTAGCCTTCTCATTAGCAGTCCAAGTGCCTTAGGCACTATGCTACCAGAGCTCCCTACAAATATATATGTATATATACTTTATTAAATGCTTTTTGTTCCTTGTTTTCCTTTCCTCCCTCTTTTCCTTCTTTTTATTTAAGCAAAAATCAGAAGTCTCTTCAAATCCAAAGCTACATGAGTCACTGCTGCAGATTATGATGAATAGAAATATATAGCTTGATTGTTAGCAAACTGGACAGCCATTTTTATTTTAGTACCATCTCAGTATAAAAAGTGCATCCGTAACCATAATGATTACCCAAGTGCCTATTCATCTCTTCAGGGCCAATTTAAATAAACATCTGGGGCTATAACACTTATTGTTTGTTGTCATTCAAAAGAACAGTCATGGTGACATTTATTTATTTTCTTAAAAATTTATTGTTATATAATGTTCTTTTGATGAGCATATTTGTAAACTAAGTTACATAAATTAGCAACAGTCGTCTATGCAATTAAATCATAACAAACAATCCACTTTTCTAAATATTTACTAATAGAGCTGGCCAAAACTGAGGAATCTCTGGCTTATTTATAAATCTGGCATTATAAAAATATCACCTATTATTATGGTTGTCAAGCAGCTAAATTGTTTTCCATTCCATTTATTTATAGCAGTTTATAAGAATCTGAAGAAAAGTGAAATGTAAGCTTTACAAAAGGTGGTAGTATTCTTTTAGCAGCAATTACAAAAGATACATTAAAATTCTGAAGAATATGAGCAAGCAAATGTATTCTAAATTTGTCTGCAACCTGATTGTTGAAACTTCCAACAGTTGACACCTGGGGGCTTTTTGAAAATTCTGGGACTCCTGTGGTCACATGATTTAAAAATAGCTCTTTAAAAGTGATTTTTCTTAAATAAATATGCTGCTAGCTAGCAAAGAGGGTAAAATGTATCCATCCACAAGTATGTGCTGATGGTTTACTGTGTCAAAGTACTGTAGTCCCCTCTTGCCTAGTAAGTGCCTGGCACAAAGTAGAGCCTCAATAAATACATATATATTAAATAAATAGGTACAG